AGTGTTGAAATTATTTAGCCATTTGATTTATGCGCTGTTTGCGATGGTGGTATTGTTTAAATTGGTTAACGATATGTTGTTGTTGATTGCTTTGTCCTCCGCCGTTGTTGGATTTTCTGTTATTTGGACGACGTGGACGACTGTTGCGTCAGGGACCTCCTTGACCACCTTGGTCTTGACCATCGCCATGGTGTATTGCGATTGCGACGCTGTTTATCGGCAGCAAATTGGCTACCACGTACCGGTTCGCCGAAGAGGCCGGTTACATTTGCAGCATCACTGCCCTTTTCGCTGATGACAACATCGAATTCGACAATTTCGCCAACGGAGCGTACGGCTTTTTTGGGATTATTTTTGATGATAGTACTCTGATGGACAAACACATCTTCTTTAGTGTCATCCCGATTAATAAAACCATAGCCGCGTTTGACATTGAACAATTTAACGGTACCGGTAAACTTAGTAGCAATAACTTCATTTACAAGCGGCGGCTGTCTTTGTTGCTGAGCAGCATCACTTTGTGGCGAGTCTTGAGGCTCTACTTCCATTCTTCCTCCAATGTGAGGATCTGCCGGCGGGATTATATAAGCACCTTTGCTAGTAGTCCCAGGCTTCATTGGTATAGTTCCCGAATGAATCCAGCCCAACTTCGTGTTCTGCCCCACGATCGCTGCATCATGCCGAACTCCTTTCTCCAATATTTGTGGGAATATGTTGAATGCTGTACTGGAAGCTGTTATCAGGATAAGCTGATGCTAATTTCGGCAGGACTAGGGCTTTGACATTGATCTTAGTACTGCTGAAAAATCTCGGTCTTACTTCGAGCAAAATTTTTGATTTTGCAACTCCCACAATAGTCTCTCCGAGACCTCTTAGGTTAGCATCGGTCTTCCTCTTTGGAAGTTGTAGTAGCTGCGCTGCATCCTCCGATATCGACGTTGTTTGTGACCCTTGGTCCATTAAAGCCCTTAACGTTATGTACTCGCCATGTAAAGACCGTACTCGAATTTGGGCCGTTGGGAGGAGAACATTTGTTGCTGTGTTGGTTGTCATTGCCTTAGAGTTGTTCACTTTCTCCAAATGGATCAGAGTGTTATGACTCAATCCACACTTCTGACATTTGTCATCGCCTAGACACCTCTTCTCTTTTCCGTGCTTCAGACACTTCAGGCATAACTGGGCTGACTTCACCCAACTATATCGCTCGTTCGATGATTGAGTCGCAAATTTCCTACAAGCCACAATGTCGTGACCAATCAACTTGCAAAATCTGCATTGCCTCTTCTCCGCTATGTCTGATATGTCTTGCTGCTTGAATATTTCTGGAATGTATTGTATTCTGTCTGCTGCTTCCAATGCTTGATATTGCTGTTCCAGGAAGTCCAGCACGTCTGCAAGTTTTTGAATTTCCTTAGACGTTTTCACAGTTTGCTCGTACTGAATAAGTCCCTCTTTGTCCAGTTTCCTTATAATGATCCTGGCTAAAATCGGATCAGCATGGTCCAACGGTATTTCCATCGCCTTCAATGCGTGAACACTCTCATTCATGCTATCAAGTAGTTTCCTTAAGCTGGATGCCGATTGACTATTTATATTGGGGTGATCCAACATCTTATCCACTAGTTTCGTGAATAAAATTCTCCTGTTGCTGTATCGCTTTTCAGCAACTCCCACGCTGCCTTATAGTTTGCGTCTGTTATTTGTAAATGCTGCACTAATCGTAAGGCTTCTCCTTTCAAATTAGTTTTCAGGTAATACAACTTTTCCACGTCCGATAGTTGCATATTACCATCTATCATTTTTTAAATAGATCGTGAAAGGAACTCCATTCCTCCACATTTCCATTAAAACTTGGAATCTCTATTTTTTCAATTCTACCGCATGAGCTTCTTCTTTTCCGCCACTTAATTTCCCAATTATTACTTGTATTTTCGCGTTCATTTTTTTTCCACTTCTTCTAATTCTTCATCCACTTCTTTCAGTCCATAGTCCGTGGTTAGTTCTAAATGCAGCCGCTTGATATCCTAGAATTGTCTCTCCCACGTATACTTGACATTCTCCAGAGCATATCTAGAGAAATCAGCAATGTCCACTTCCATGGCACCGGACAGCTTTATAATTTTTCTGCGAAATTGAGACAGCACTGCATTTTTCCTTACACTATTGGACTGGGGGGAATTACGGCACATTCTTTTAACGCCGTCTGATCTTCTTCTCACTGAGGAGCTTCTTTGCTAATTTGCAACTGCATAAACTGCTGCATTTGTTGTTGCATTTCCAGAATTTGCGCCTGCATTACCGAACTGCTGCTGTGTCCCTGCACTAGGAAGCTCTGTTTCTGTCAGTTTCCCAGGCTCCACTCCCTCTGCTATCTCTTGCTTTTCGGGTTCTTCTTTAATTTTCTGCATGATACCTCTGCATATATCATGCACGCTCAGGAGTCGGTCCCATATGTTGTCCTTGAAATATACGTCGTTGTTTGCTCCCAGTTTGTTTAATTTTAGGTTATTTAATATCGCCTCGTCCATTTTTGTTTCGAGCGACTTAAGCTTCTAGTGCCGCTTTCCGTACCATCCCGCTTTTCAGTTTATCAGAAATCTCAATCATTTCTTTGAGAATCTGATTTTGTACCTTGTACAGATTATGTCTATCTGCCGACATTTTTTTTTGATTTGTGGCTATTAGCCTTATCAGTTTTTTAGTTTTTTAATATTTTGCCAATATTGGCTTTTTGTGCTTGTTTTTGTGCTTTTTATGTGCCTTTTTTAGCTTTTTTTTGTTTGTGCCTTCTTTGTCTTTTTATTTTATTGAGCCTTTTTGGCTTTTAAGGGGTTTCTTTTATAATAATATTTTTTTCTTTATTTTTTATTTATTTATTTTTTTTTTGATGTTGACGGTCGCTGCTTCTTTTCTCTCGAAGGACCACTGTTTGAGAAGTGTTGGGTTAAGATGTTAATTCGCTTCTGATTTTATTGTAAATGTTAATTCACTTAAGAGCTAGACCGTCACAGAAATCTTAGGCTATCTTATTCTTGTTAGTCCTTTGCTTAGTGCATTATCAGTTGGGCATTGCCTTTATTATTGATGCACCCCAGCAACGCACACAAGCATTATCACTTAGACACACTTATCTACCTAAATATATTTATGATAGGCACTTAAATATTTTATGATCTACATAGTGTAAATTATGTTCATATTTTTATGAACACATGTTTATAGTTTTCATTCAAAACAGTTTTTTTGCTTCTCCTACACAATTATGCTTTTGTTAGTTACGCCTTTGGCATTTTAGCTGACGATATGTGGGAATAAATGTGGTGAATATTTTTCGAAGTTTGATCGACAACTCGTAAATTAAGTTTACTTGAAAATGGGTAACGCAAATGGACGGCATACAAAAATTAATGTGTCTCCATCACATGTACTCATCTTTTTATAAACACCAATTACCGGCTTCAAATTAATCGGTCTATTGTGTGGAGGTTATTAAAACATAATGACCGGTATTGAAATTTTTTTTATTCCATAGAAAAATATTGTTCACCCTCCATGGTACAATTATAAAAGGTAACAGCAAATCCCAGCTGATTTGATTCCAACGTAATACTAGTGTCAATATGAATTTGCCAAATTATGTTTTTAAAAATCACCCAACAGGAAAATTGGGAACGCATACAATTTGTAATTGTTCTTTATTAAATGTGCTCCAATCAATCTGCCTGCTGGGAAAGTTTGAGGAAGCAAATCTTTGTTCAAGGAACAACTCGCTATTCCCAACATTTTCATATGTGGTACACATATATATGGCAATGGCTCAATTATAGGAAAGATGTGGAAGCGATAGAAATATAAATTTGATAGATTTTCATTCATGTTTTTCAATTTTTATTTTGAGGATTCGAAAATATTTAATTTTCAAAATAAAAATAAATAACACTAGTAGAACTTACAACAACAAATTTCCATGTGGGTATTGCATCGTTTTTTATACAACAACACTTGCTGTTACCTTCTATTATTATACCATGTTCATCCTCTATGAACACTGATTGCCAAGTTAAAACCACTTATTCAGGTAAATTCGAAAATATTAAAAATTCAAAAAACACCTATTTCAAAATTGTTTGCAAAAATGTGTTTGAACATCCAAGGAGCCGAAATACCACATTTATGGGTGTTTCATAGAAAAAAGTTCGTTATAAACATACTCGACTGTATTATAATGTACTCGATTTACTTTCGATAAAATCACCTTCTGTAATTTTTGTATCTTTTCTCCGAATAGATGCAATAAAAACCAGTAAGGAAAGTAGTAAAGTCGGTCGGGGCCGGCTATATGATACCCTTCACCACTTTGGATATATTCAAAAGATGAATCCTTTTGGTCAGATATAGAAGCTATATCTAAATCTGAACCGATTTTCACGAAACTTAACACACATCATTCTGTGCCATTACGCTGTGCCAAATTTCGTGCAAATCGAAAGATATATAGGGACTTTGGTGGACCATTTACATTAAATCGGACGAAAATATATTTGGGAGCTATATCTAAATCTGAACCGATTTTCTGGTAACTTTACACACATCATTCTAGACCTAATTCATTACGCTGTGCCAAATTTCGTGCAAATCGAGAGATATATAGGGACTTTGGCGCACCATTTACATTAAATCGGACAAAAATATATATATTTGAGCTACATCTAAATCTGAACTGATTTTTCCCAATTTCAATAGGGTTCGTCCTTGGGCCAAATAAGTAACCTATACCATATTTCATCCAAATTGGATCATAAATGCGACCTGTACTTTGTTCACAAAAATACAAAAGGAAACATGTGTCTATCTCGTTTCCTTTTGCCTGTTACAAACATATGCACAAAGACATAATACCCTGTACCACAGTGTGGTGAAGGGTATAAATAGTGACAGAAAGTCTGACGTTATGTAGATGATGTTCATAATACTCTTTATTAATTATTTTATTTTTTCAGGAAAACGTGCTCAGGAATTTATTTGCGTATACACGTGTATTGCTTTAATGGTTATCGATTTTATTCTCATATTGAAACATTTTCATTTCGATCGGATAATAGTGACGTGTATTTCGGCAATATGTGGCATAATCACAGCAGATTTCGGATCGGGTCTTGTCCATTGGGCAGCAGACACATGGGGTTCTGTGGAATTACCCATCATTGGAAAAGTACAGTGTTATACTAGCATTGAATGCCGATTAAGACTTCACTTCTTCTTTGCAGAACTTTTTACGTCCTTTCCGGGAACATCATTTGGATCCGACATCGATTACTCGTCACGATTTCATTGAAACGAACGGTGATAATTTTATGGTTAGCATACCTATATTAGGATTTTTGGCCTATTGTTTCAATACAAAATCGCATAGTGACATCCAACAGGATTTTGGATGGATATCATATTTATTTCTATGCTCGATTTTCGTGGCCATGACCAATCAGGTAAATAGTATTGCCACTGACAAATTTTGCACAAAAAATGATCCAAGCTTGTTACCATTTTATTACAGATTCACAAATGGTCCCATACTTATTGGGGACTACCGAAATGGGTGCTGTTTTTGCAGAATTACCATATCGTTTTACCTCGCAAGCATCATCGCATCCACCACGTAGCACCACATGAAACGTATTTTTGCATAACAACTGGCTGGTTAAATTGGCCTTTGGAGAAACTGAGGTGAGTCAGACCCTAATATACCTAAAATTGAGTTTCATGCTACTTTTATGCGCTTAGTCGAAAAAAGTACTGGGGAATGTCTTTGAAAAAAATGCAAGAACATTTTGAATTTTTTGTGGAAAATGTATGACTTTATATTCGGTATATACATTATATATACAGATTTCACTTGTTCTGTGACTTATGCTAAAAATTTGTGGAGAATATTTGTGTCCCTTATACAATCCTTCTAAAACGACATCTTCCGAAAAATGGGTAAAAACTAGCAATAAGTACTATATTAACCCTTAAATGAGTTTTTGTTTTTTAAGATTTTTGACGTTTAGGCCGATTTTTGAGTTTTAGTCTATTCTGAGACTTATAGTAAAACTTTATGGCGAACATTTCTGTAGAATATTCTGAGCAGCTTTAACCCCGTTTTGAATGCGTTTTCAATCACTTCTGGAAAAGGGGACCGAAAATACCCCTTCAATGAGTCGGTTGGTGGTTAAAGTTGTATACCAAATATTCCTCGACATTTTATCAGTACTTTTGCCGAAGACACCATATACGTAAAAAGCAAGGATTTCAAGAAATCATAATTCGAAAATTATCCAAATTCTTGAAAAGGGGGAATATTGCCCCGCCTTTTAGGTTACCTCCCGACGTAAACTTTCTAAACGCCGATACACGTATCTTCTTTGGAATTACCCGGTAATTATTTTTTGTGTTGCACAGTGTTATTGAAGTGAAGACCCTAATGAATTCTTTACAAAAAAAGTAAAAATCAGACTGATTGTCACTAACACCTTTTATAAATACACCTTGCTTCAAACAATAAAATTAACAGTAAGTAAATATGACAACATTTTGTTTAAATTTCCAATTTGTTGAAAAACACACGATTGGTCAATCATATCCCATTTTTTGCTTATACAAAACTTTACTGAGTAAATTTTTCAAGTAAAACGGCATCAAATTTATTTGTCCATATGTCCAATAAATTAATCTGATGGAAGAAAAACATATATTCTTCGACAAATCTTCTATAAATAGGACACATTCACAGGCCTCCTCTTCTGGTTAGGGGACCTTTTCTGCAGCTTGAACCCATCTCTCCTTGTTAAATTCTGACTTTCTTCTAATTAAATTCGACAGGAACGTGGCCTCTTATAGATATGAGATCTAATCGTCTGAAAAGTTATGGTTCCACGCCGGAATCTTCTTTACGGTCATATGGTCATCATTTGGAAATCCCAATGTCTCCTCCCAATAGCCAGTATCGATGTCGATTGTTTTTCTCCTTTTTTGTTCTTTATTTTGAAATGTCTTCTATTTCTATATATATTTTTTTTAATTTTACGTCGAATTAAAATTGTTGTGACATTTAATGTTACAATCACCTGGTTTGATACGGTTACCTTCTTAATATACCTTGTTGCCTTGTTTACATGGTACAATTATAAAAGGTAACAGCAAATCCCAGCTGATTTGATTCCAACGTAATACTAGTGTCAATATGAATTTGACAAATTATGTTTTTAAAAATCACCCAACAGGAAAATTAGGAACGCATACAATTTGAAATTGTTCTTTATTAAATGTGCTCTTGTATTCAATTTACTCAATCTGCCTGCTGGGAAAGTTTGAGGAAGCAAATCTTTCTTCGAGGAATAACTCGATATTCCCAGCATTCTCATATGTGTTACACATATATATGGCAATGGCTCAATTATAGGAAAGATGTGGAAGCGATAGAAATATAAATTTGATATATTTTCATTCATGTTTTTCAATTTTTATTTTGAGGACTCGAAAATATTTCATTTTCAAAATAAAAATAATTTGATGATAATTTGTTTCTTTGTTTACATTTTTCTGTCAAATGAGTTGACACTAGTAGAACTTACAACAACAAATTTCCATGTGGTTGTTGTATCGTTTTTTGTACAACAACACTTGCTGTTACCTTTTATGTCCAAATTTAGATTAGGCGAGTTTACTTGCGGCAAGTCCTTTTTTGTAAGAGAGAGGGGCAAGGGGTCATGGTATAATAATAGAAGGTAACAGCAAGTGTTTTTGTACAAAAAACGATACAACAACCACACGGAAATTTGTTGTTGTATGTTCTACTAGTGTCAACTAATTTGACAGTAAAATGTAAACAAACAAACAAATTATCATCAAATTATTTTTATTTTGAAAATGAAATATTTTCGAATCCTCAAAATAAAAATTGAAAAACATGAATGAAAATCTATCAAATTTATATTTCTATCGCTTCCACATCTTTCCTATAATTGAGCCATTGCCATATATATGTGTAACACATATGAAAATGCTGGGAATAGCGAGTTATTCCTTGAAGAAAGATTTGCTTCCTCAAACTTTCCCAGCAGGCAGATTGAGCATATTTAATAAAGAACAATTACAAATTATATGGGAACGCATATTTTCCTGTTGGGTGATTTTTAAAAACATAATTTGTCAAATTCATATTGACACTAGTATTACGGTGGATTCAAATCAGCTGGGATTTGCTGTTACCTTTTATAATTGTACCATGGCAAGGGGTATAGAAATGAAAAAAATTGCTCGTACCGACAATTTTCTGGCAATTCGTTTTGTGTATTTCGTATTTGTTGACATTTTATATATATTTAAATGTGAAAAAAACAACAAATAAAAAAAAAATTTGGAAACCGAATTGCCTTGTATAGACGCAAGGAGCAAGTTCAAAAGAGAACGATAAAAATTGCCGCAAGTAAACTCGCCTAATATAAATCAGGACTATTATTATACCATGCCTTGTTTACAAATTTCGACATATTTGGTCTGTTCCCGTACTGCAAGAATCTACTAGATTTTACTATTTTCTTCGATATCATAAAGGAAAATTTGTTATCGTAGTAAAAAGTAGTAGATTCTTGCAGTACGGGAACAGACCAATTATGTTACCAAAAAAATTGCTTTGTTGTAGTAATTCGCCGATGCGACTACCTAATATATGTGCCTTGTACTCGGTAATACAAAATTCAAAATAGTTCTCTCAATTCATACTCATTTAGCAATACAAAAAATCTGTTCTGTAACTTTCAGTTGTTAAGAATTACCGATGATTGTCGATAACTGCAAAGAAAATTTTAACGTTTAGCTAACAACCCTTATTATGGTTGTTAGCTAAACCTTAAAATTTTCTTTGCAGCCCTTAAGCGCTACCGACATATATAAAGAAGTTGACATCAATTGTAATTTTTACATAAACAATATGTGTTTTAATTTTTCCGATATTTGTCCGTACCGAAAAAAAAAAATACAAAATGTGTGTTCCTGAGCCTTTAAAGGTTTCAGAGGCAGGGAACGTATTAATAAATATAAATAATTTAGCAATTTTTGCCACTGAACACATCCTGTGCGTACATTTGGAAGGAAGGTATATTCATTAAAAGTTTGAAAGCTGAATGTTGTCAAAAGTAAATTTATGAAAAAATGCTGTTTATCAAATATTTTCGCAAATCTTCATCGATTGGCAAATCAAGCATTCCGTCGCTATAAAATGCCAACTAACATACTAATTGAATTAAAGGTGCGTCTATAGTTATGATACGACAAAAATAGTAGATTCTTGCAGTACGGGATCAGAACAAAATGTAAAACAAATTTACGAAATTGCACTACAGGTTTCATATTAATTTAGTTTTGATTTTCATTTCATGCCATGAACGTCTGTATTACATGCAACTTCAGTTATTTCCAATTTTTTTAAACAACAATTTGATGGAAATATTTTGGAAGCACAATGAAATATTCCTCAACTGATTAGAAAGAATATTCAAGAATGTACAATGTTTTACTTTATGCGGTCGAAAGAAACAGTACAAATTAGAAGATTCTTGGAGTACGGGAATAGGAAAAAATGTGCATAACATTTAGAACACACTGAACACACAGAGAGAATAAATCAGTACACCGCAGTGATAACAAATACCAGTACTGTTGTTGGTGTGTAAGCGTGAGATAAAGGTGTTTTTTTGGAAATTCGAACTAGAAGGGTGCGAAAAGTACCAAAATGTACCTTTTGTATTAGGAAAACGAGAAAATGTACATCTTTCTATCTAGGGTTTTTGGAAATTCGACCTATAAGTGTACGAAAAATACTAAACTTTACTTAATTTAGTTCTAATTGTATATATTGAACCATGATATTGAACATATGTATATAGCTATAATCTAGGTGTATTTAATAAGGTGTATGCATCAGCTACAACAACTAACATTTTACTAAAACAACATTGCTGTTATAGAAATTAAATTGTCATGTTGACAATTAGTTTTTGGCAAAAATAAAGAAAAACAATTATCCGTTTGTGTTTATTAATTTTTGTCAAGAACTATTCTTTGATGAATAATTTGTATATTCTTGGATTTTTGGCAATTTTAGGTTAGGGAGTCAAGTTTAAGACCCGGCCACGAATTATTTTGAAAAGTTTCCAACGTGTAGCCCTTGGTTCCTGGTGATGTTGCTATATTGTAAACTACAATTTTTTTCGAAGAATTGCCTTCAAATTTCGCCTCCTTAATGAAAGTTTGGTGGACATAAATCCCTGGCCAAAGACTTAATCAAGGAAATTGTGTTGCCCTTGTGCAATCTGGCTATAGGAGTATATCAAAGACTTCAACCTTTTGATTGATTTTTGGAGATACCAATAGGCAGAATCCATTATTTTGGTTCGAATACAAATATTTTTTGTTTATTTATTCTTCAAACAATAAATTTGACAGTCAATGAAGACTTTCAATTCGCCTCCTTGTTAACCTTATGAATAAACCTTGACAAAGACGATATAAATTAAAATTGAATAGAATGTTTACATAATATTAATATTTTCGTTTTGACATATAACATAATTTTGTATAGGTTTATATAACCTATACAAAATTGGAATTTTTAAATTAATTGTCGTTGATATTAAACAATATATATAAAAAACTACTTTGTGTTGTATCTTAAAAAAATGATATTGGTGTAGAAACATGGTATAATAAATAAGATAACAGCAAGTGTTGTTGTACAACAAACGATACAACAACCACATAAATATTTGTTGTAAGTAACGTCAACGTCATTTAATCAAAAAATGCAAACAAAACATACAAATTTGGTCTGTTCCCGTACTGCAAGAATCTACTACTTTTTACTACGATAACGAAATTTCCTTTATGTTTTCGAAGAAAATAGAAAATCTAGTAGATTCTTGCAGTACGGGAACAGACCAATTATAAAACATGTACATATTTTAAAATACCGAATACCGAATTTGGGGTACTTTTATATGGGAGCTATGCCTAAGCGTGGACCGATAAAGCCCATCTTCGAACATGACCTGCCTGCACACAAAAGACGACTCTATGCAAAATGTTGGCGATCTATCTCAATTCGTTTAGAGGCTATAGTGATTACAACAGACGGACATGGCTATATCGTCATAGAATTTTACGAAGATCAAGAATCCTATGTATGATCCTATGCACTGATATTTAATAAATGAAATGAATATATGTACTTTATAGGGTCTGAAATGATTATTTCGATGAGTTACAAACGGAAAAACAAAATTGATATACCCTCCACACTATGGTGGAGGGTACAATGCGTGCACAATATCTGGAGATCAGACTAAGAGCAACAAGCAGAAATAATAAGAGAAATGTCGTAAATCATTCATCAGTGAATACAGTGAGAAACACCTCAAATTACACACGTGGCATCCAACAAACACACCACTCACGAGACATACCTCAGCTTGGCACCGCCAACCCAATCAACGGTACCAACAATAATAATACTCTCACCTATGCTGATATGCTAAAAAACAACAATAACAACACTCTGTTTAATATAGATGAGTTATTCAATATATTTACTAATGCTCTTGACGAATTGAGCAATGGTACAACAAAATCACAGCAAATGTTTGTTATTATGTCTCTTGTCAAATATGCTTATGAATTTAAATAATTTAGGAGATCTTAAAATAATTCATTTGAATTCCAATGGAACAACAAACCATAGTCTTTTAAAACAGTTTGAAAATTTGTTAGAAAATCAAGAATCTCATATAGCTTCATTAAATGAAACTTTTTTAAACCATAGTCATAAGACATATCTTAAAAATTACTATATATATCGTAATGATCGAACGACTTCAAGAGGGGGCGGTGTTGCTCTTTTGATACATCGCACCGTACAACACAGACAACTCCCTATAATAACAACTAAATTTATAGAGAACGTGTCTGTAGTAATAAATGTTAATAATCATAACCTAAGAATTACATCATAGGTTATTTAAATGCAAAACATATATCATGGAAATGTTTATCAAATAATTCTGCAGGCATTTCCTTAAATAATTTGTACATGCAACGAAATTTCGTGATATACAGTCCAAGTCGTCCAACCCTTTACCAGCATCAAATGGGCAGAAGTCCATCAATTGTTGACATAGTTCTCAGCAATACTAATCTAGAAATAGAAGTTGAAACATTAGGTTACAAGTTTCCTTCAGACCACAGACCTATAGTATGTTCAATTGCATGTCAATCAATTCAAAAAGTTAGTACACACACATTTAATTTCAAACACTGTAATTGGGAATTATACAAACGCAAACACTCTTAATAATATTCCAAATCCAATCCAGTAGTAGTGCAACGTATCCAAGTACTCAAAATATTCGACACGACTTTCTCAGAGATATCACAAAATATATAAGTGACAGAAAAAGATTTAAAAGAAAACAGCAAAGAGCAAGGAATACAAACGAGGAAATGTTTTACAAGCAATGTTGCCAATTTTTAAGCAAGAAGATTAATGAGAGGATAAACCAGGAAAGAAATATGAAGTGGTCATATTTCCTTTCTAAAATTAAACCAGGAGACAAACAGTTTTGGAAGCTTAGCAGAAACTTAAGACGAAAGGGCTCCAATAATATTCCCACACTAGAAGTAGAAAATAGAAAGTTATTATCTGATGATGAAAAAGCGGAAATTCTTGCAGAAACTTTTTTCAGTTCTCATGTACTTACAATAGATTATATTCATCCCTATGAGCAGAAAATAAAGAGAGTGGTAACCACACTAAAATCGAACTCATCTAGTACTGAAAATATACACTTTATTACTTTCAATGAAATAAATTCAATAATAGCGAAACTTAGAGTAGCAAAATCACCTGGTTTTGACAAAGTGTCAAACATTTTAATTAAAAACCTTCCTGTCAATGCAATTAAAAAACTTGTATTGATTTTTAACTCATGCCTACGACATAATTATTTCCCAGAACGTTTTAAGGAAGCTAAAATTATAGCTAAAAGACCCTAAAAGTTATAGACCTATTAGTCTCTTATGTAATCTTGGAAAAATCTATGAGAAACTTATTCATTCCCGATTAAAAGAATTCGCTGATTCAAACAACGTCATAGCAAAGGAACAGTTTGGATTTAAAGAAGGACATAGATATCGATATCGAAAAAGCGTTCGATACTGCATGGCATACCGGTTTAATATACAAACTTCACAAGATGAATTTTCCTAAATATTTATGTAAAATTATAGATGATTTTTTGTGCAATAGAACTTTTAAAGTTGCCGTGAACCAGGTTTCCTCTCCCGCAAAAAACATCCCATCCGGTCTGCCGCAGGGATCTATTCTTTCCTTTTTCCCTTTACTTTACATAACTTACACATCAGACTTAAAGGTGCCTCGTTCAATAAATGTTGCATATTACGCAGATGATACTGCATTGATAACATCAAGTAAACTCACTAGTGCCTTACTAAAGAAAATGGAAAATAAAAATTAACCACGGCAAAACACAAGCTGCAATCTTTCCATTCAACAACTCACCAAAAAGATTCCCTCGCCGTCCTCTATCCTTTGGTCATCAAACTATTCAGGTATTAGATCATATAAAATATCTTGGTGTTGTCCTAGATAAAAAATTAAAATTTCAGAAACACATTGATTCTGTGCGTTTAAAAGCAATGTCAGCGATTAAATCACTCTGGCCCCTCTTAAATCATCGTTCGTATGTAGACATTAAAAACAAGAACTTATTATACAAATCTGTTATACCTCCAATTATGGCATACGCATCTCAAGTATGGTATACTTCAGCTAAATGTCATTTAACGAAACTTCAAATTATACAAAATAAATGCTTAAAAATGATTTATAACAAGCCATGGCGTTATCGTACACATACATTACACGCTGAGACTGGATTTGAAACATTTCAAGAATTCATAAGTAGACAGAACGAAATTTTTTTTACAAATTCCTCAATCTCGAATTATCCCATAATAAGAGACTGCATAGAGATAAATTAGTATATAACAGTAAATATATTTAAATCTAAAATATAACAAACAGAAGTCTTTATTCTGTAGTGATGCTATTTTACAAATAGTTCTCCAATAGACAATATCGGTTTCTAACAATGACCTATTAAAATAAGATAATAATAAGGTTTTTCCCATTTCCCTTTAGCCAAGAATTATTAAAAATACTAAAACGATACAAATTGTGATGTAATGTAATTATATGCTGTAATATCTATAGATAAATCCATACTCTAGATTTTTAAGTACATATAATTTTGTAAACATGTTAACTTTGGATGAATAAAAGAAATGAAAAAAAATTATTCAATATCAAAAAAAATTTGATGCTTATCTCTTAGTTACACTCACCCTCCATTTATTTCAGTTCAACACTGATTTACAAATATTTTTTTTATTTTCCAGGTTTTGGTCTACATTAGAGTGCCTTATAGAATTTTTGACAGGTCTGAAACCAAGGGACGATGATTTGAAATGGGCTAAAAAGGTTACATAGCTATTTCAATGAGCAATGAAACGGACCAATCACAATTATACGCAAGGTTTGCATCAACTACGTCTATTCTTACAACAATTATTTACTAACAAAACATACAAAGGAAAACCAAAACAAACAAACAAACAAAACTAATTTACTTTGCTGAATGTACAAAGAAATCAACAATTTACAATTTTTGCTAAGCATGATCAACCAAACACGAACCAAAACTCAATTTAAGATTGCAACAGAGTAAAGCAATGTTATTAAATAATACCTACATATATATTATTATTATTTTCACTTTTTTACAAATTTTCTATTACATGAAAACTGCACTAACAACGTTTTTCTCAAAAAACTATTTTTACAAAAATGCATATAAGAGCCATTATTTTATAAATCGTCGATACATAGGGACTTTTTATGAATGTTATATATGTCTTTGTTAAGAGAATTTATTTGTTATATATAGGAGGTGATGCAAATGTGGTATACCCATTTGTTTTTAGATTGCCAAATTTTTATTTTTTATCCGATTAAATTGAAATTTTACAATTAACATGATGCATGTGTTGTCTTTCCATGTATCAAATTGAAAATAATATTATCCTAACAATTTAAGAGATATTTGGGAATATATTTGAAATTTCATTAAAAGTGATTTTAAAAAAAGTGCAGGTAATGTGGTATACCACATGATGTTAATGTGGTTTAGTATAATTTTCACTTCCAATTGATATTTTATATAATTTATTGTTTTTAATGAATGCGAATTAGCTCGAGATTTATGTCTGTTGAGTGGAACTTTAATTTATATTATATAATAATATCTACACATGTCAATATTTAATTTTTGTATGGAGAAGTTGTTGAAACTCATAGCCTTTGTTTTTCATCCTTGTGATTCATGGTAGACTCTCGCAGAGCACAAATGTTTCAAATAATAATGAGATTTTGTCTAGTGCTGGCTTTTTCATGCAGACTCAAGGTATACCGCACTACCTGCACTTGTGTTTACTAAAGAAATGCCTAGTTTTTTTTTTTCCTAAATTGGTGATTATGTGTTGCAATCGCGCATAATATTTGATTTTTACTTCATACTAAGTATTTTAATGTTATAGTAATAACGATTAAATTACATCCGTAAAACAAAAAATTATTTTTAACCTTCAACCGAAAAAAAGTCAATTTCATGTAAAATTTAATTGTTGGTACTGATTCTCAACGTGATTTAATTCGAGATTTAATTTTTGGTACTGATTCTCAACGTGATTTAAATAAATTAAATAGATCATTGCTATCTTATTTTTTGAGAACAGCAAACTATAGAACATGTTTCAGTTATTCTAAAATTTTCAGTTTACAAAAAAGTGCCTATACCACATTTGCATCACCTCCTCTATGTAATTTGATTTGGCAAAACATAGGAAAAAATTGTGAAATCTGTCAAATATCATTATAATATGGAAGATAACAACTTTAGTGAATATCATATTAAGGATTGTTGGTTATATATGAAAATTATAAATAGAATGAAATCAATTTTTTGGAGATGATTGATTGATCGATAAATGACAATTAAACGCAATGTTGCGCCGTCGTCGTCAAATGGAATAAGGGCGAATTACTCTTATTAGGGTTGGCATTTAACAACAAGTATCGCATACGTTGTCGCAATTAATGCAAGAAATGCATTATTAATAAGGAAGTTTTTCAATAGAATATAATAGGATTCTGAAAATAACATTTTTCTTCGACAAGTCTACGAGATCTGAAATAAAACGACAACCGTAATAAGGGTGATAATATTTCGATGTATTAGGGGAAGTTTTTTTTTTCTTTTGATCTAACGATATTTTAGTTTTTTCTTTTATTTTTGTGTTAAGAATATAATAAATTATAAGAAAACATAGTGGTAAACTTATCGAAATAAATTGACTATGACAGTTACAATACGTCAAATTTGTCAACCATTCTGTTTTTTTTTTTATTTTTTTTTGCAATAAGAGTGAAGTGAGAGCATAAAATGTGTTATTGAGTTGAAAAAGCAAATTCGATATAGGTTCTAGTTCCAAAACTTTCATTTAAAAATGTTATAAATTTATTGAATTTGTACAAATGAACAGTGGAAATAAAAACACAAGTCAACACTATTCTCGATACTTATATTCCAGTGAATTAAGCGAACTAAATCCATGTCTTAAAGATATATTACATTCCTTGTTACTGTCTATTGTCATTTTTAATCAATTCATTAAGTTTTTCAAATTAATGAAAGCTATTTTTGGAAAATAACTCAACAAACCTTGTTATGTCTTTTTTTACGGCACAAGTTATGCAAAAATGCAAGCGTTTTATTTAATTCTTTGCTAAACCATGGCGGAAGGAATTATTATAGTATTAATTTTTAAAATGAAAAAAAAAAACAGTTTCTAATGAAAATAAGCCCTAATATTATATTTTGCTGTAAGTTATTACGAAATACATTTCATTGGGGATAGTGTTAACGGGTATCATATGATTTTAAATTCTTTTGTTAAGAAATTCGACTTTTTATCTTATTTTTACCAAGAACTACATGTCCAGATATTTATTCCACCGAAAATTTTACGTTTTCTACTTTCATTTATTTGTTTTTTATGAATGCAAGTGGAAGCACACACATAATATTAAATGAAATTGAGTATGGGACACTTTTTTAACGCTACGGTCAATAACCGGGTACATTTGTAGCTTTTTTTCGAATAAAAATGCTGTAAAGCTTTTAATAATGGAGATATTTGGATCAAATTTTAAAGAATCATTCTTGAGGTATTTTCACACATAATCTAAGAAAAAAAATATAAATATTTTCCATATATATAATTTTTAAAACTTTTTAAAGTTATTACCTACGTAGATCAATAACCATGGTACATTTGTACCCATCCAAAGATAGATCTGTAACTCATTAAAAACTTGGACTATCGTTAGCTTTTTTGTTTTACATTAGTCTATATGACTCTGATCTAGATGTAGGAACTCAAAATTATATATACATTAAAATAAAATATATTTAAATCCATGCTTTAATTATAGTCTATCTAAAACAATCATAGTAAATTCGTTATAGCTTTCGAATGGGTTAAGCTTTTTTAGTTATTTTTTTATTGGGATCTTATTTAGGTTTAGGTCCTCAACCCCTCTGCAAATTTTTGTGGCCCTAGACAACATGGGGCCATCAGGGCGACTCCTGGAAGTCAGAAACTACCCTGGTTTTCCCTTGGTATACAGGGAGAAAAACAATAATTATTTCCGTAATTATCCAATAAGTCTTCATACTGGGCCTGAAACTTTTTCTATAATCGAATTAGTCTGATATATTACAATCCTAAATTGACGTTCATATATAAACTATCATTAAATAACGTTTTGAAGTATTCAGCCTTATTCTGGATGTCAATTCCACGTGAATTTACTCGCTCTTCCCCTTCGTCTTATTCTGAACAACATTTTTGTGTGAATTTTTTCGCATTCTCGCTTTCGCCTTATTCTGAATGAAGTTCGAAAGCGAAAAAATCCGCTTTGGGGAAAAATTAGGTATTCTGGATTACAGGGAGTAGGAGAATGAGATGAAATTTTGTGCGAAATTTTTCGCTAATAAAAGTGAGTTGATGACAAAAACATAAGTTATAAATATTTTTATGAAAAATATTAACACAATACATATTCTATGACGATTTAGAATATTATAAATGATAATAAGCAAATATTTATCTGGAAAACAGCAAATAAAATGCCTTTGGAAATCCTATTGATAATGATGCCTGCTGAACCAAATATTGCCAAGGAATGTATAAAGGTAATAATGAATATTTAAGTCGAGTTTGATGCATTTGGGAGGCGAAAAACAGACATTTTGGGTGAGGATCTGTCTATCAAGAAAAAAACTATAGAAAAGCCAAATTTGCCTAATGAGCCGCTTAACAGTGAAAACTTAAATACAAATTATGAAACAACACACAAAAAAATACAAAAGATATATATATTTTTTTAAATTATCGTTTGCATTATTTGAAGGAAGAAATAAAGTGTTGTTGAGATCAGTTTATTAGAAGTAATGAGGAAAAGAAAAATGTGTATGTACATATAATGGCGTGTCATACATGACATAAATTTCAAAGTTGTAGACATTTGCATAGTACAGTGTTGTTACATAAACATTAAGTGTCCTCACAGTTAATTACAATGTTAATTTGAGTGTTAATATAAATTAACTATTAACACCCCTTCTTAATATTACAAATATTATTTAAAATTAATTTATATAAACTCAAAAGATATGTATGTATATAAAAATAACGAATTAATCTAAATTACATAATCCAACCAGTATTCGAAATTTACATATGTTAACCTTCTGTAAAGGCTTGGTTAGAATGTCTGCTAACATAGACTTTGTTGGACAATAATTAAATAATACGCTATTCGATCTATACAAGTCGCGAACAAAGTAAAACTTAACATCTATATGCTTGCTTCTAGGGCTTATTTTCTCATCTTGAAGTATCTTGAGGCAACTCTGGTTGTCTTCAAAAATGACCGGACTGGATATGTTGATTTCAAATTCCTTTATTAATTGCATAATCCATAAGAGTTCCTGAGATGCTTCAGCAAGAGCCACATATTCTGCCTCGGTAGATGATAAAGTTACATTTGCTTGCTTTCGACTAGCATAACTGATGACAGCATCACCAAGCTTAAAAATGAACCCACTTGTAGATTTTCGGTCATTGATGTCGCCTGCCCAATCAGCATCAGCAAAGCCTTTCAATTCCAATTCACTCTTAGATCCAACGAGCAATTTCAAGTCTTTAGTCCCTTTTAGATATTTTAGAACCCTTTTGACTTCAGTCCAATCTCTTTCATTCGGGCAAGTAATTTTCCGAGATAATATTGAAACGGCAACTGCAATATCTGGACGTGTATTGTTAGAGATATACAGCAGCGATCCGATAGCCTTCCGGTATAAGATATTGTTTTCAAGCAAATTATTCGTAGTTTCCTTCAAATATCCAGGATCCATGGGTATAGAAGAAGGCTTAACATCTTGAAGATCAAACTCATTTAATATTTTTTCAATGTAACGTTCTTGTGACAAATAATATAAACCATTATTGTAGCTCACTTCTATCCCCAAATAGAGTCTTAAATCACCCAATTCCGTTATTGCAAAGTGGGATTTCAGAGTACGTAAAACATCTTCAATTTGCTCATCAGTCTTAGATGCAACAATAATGTCATCGACGTAAATCAGAACGTATGTGATTGAGTTCGTATCACTTTTAACATATAAACAGGGTTCAGCCTTTCCCCTTCTGAATCCAGAATCAATTAGGATTTTGTTGATACGAAGATTCCAACATCTTGCCGACTGTTTCAGTCCATAGAGGCTTCGGTTTAATTTACAAACATAATTTTCTTTTCCAGGTATAATAAAACCTTCAGGTTGTTTCAAATATATATCGGTGTCCAAATCACCATAAAGAAACGCCGTTTTCACGTCAACGTGACGAACTTTCATATTTCTATAGCTTGCGATGGCCAATAAGCTTCTAAATGTTGCTTGCTTTACAATTGGAGCAAAAACTTCGTCGTAGTTTTCGCCGTATTTTTGGGAAAATCCCTTTGCGACCAGTCTAGCTCTGTACTCCTTCTCACCATTAAATTTATGTTTAACTTTGAAGACCCATTTACAGCCGACTAATTTGCCATCACGTGGCAACTCCACCAAGTCCCACGTTTTGTTTTCATGCAATGCCCTCATCTCCTCTTCCATAGCCATCAACCATCTCTTGCCGTCCGATCTGGATATAGCCTCTCCAAAATTTGTTGGATCTTCTTCAACGCAAATTTTGTACCCATACTTTTTAGGCGGTATACCCTTGTTTGATCTTGAAGAAGTTCGAGGAGTATCATCAGGATTAATTGTTACGTCATTATTTAAAATTTCCTCGTCAGAAGACGATGAAAATTCCCAAGTTTAAACAACAATAACATGTAACAATTTTTAATAAAATAATCAATAAATAAAATATTGAAAAATATTACACAATTAAAATACAATATGGCAACACACATTACAACTTAAATTATAATATGGCAACACGAATCTTTTTTTCAGCCACCATTTTCGAAAACTCGAATCCGCATCTCGCATTTTTTGCGTCTCCCTATTCATTCAGAATAAGGCGAGAATGTGAAAGCGAAAATTTTTGTGCATGCGAGATATCTCCCAGCGAATATCCAGAATAAGGCTGATTAAATAATGTTAAAAATGCGACAATCACAATCTCTAAACCCATAAAATGTGAATAATTGTCAATAATAATTGTTTTAGTCCCTGTATACCAAAGGAAAACCACGGTAGTTTCTGATTTCAACGAGTCGCCCTGATGGCCCCATGTTGTCTAGGGCAGAGGGGTAGAGGAACACCTAAATATGATCCCAATAAAAAAATAACTAAAAAAGCTTAACCCATTCGAAAGCTATAACGAATTTACTATGATTGTTTTAGATAGATTATCATTTAAGCATGGATTTAAATATATATTATTTTAATGTATATATAATTTTGAGTTCCTACATCTAGATCAGAGTCATATAGACTAATTTAAAACAAAAAACCTAACAATAGTCCAATTTTTTAAGAGAGTCAAAATATTTATGCATGTCCATGAGTGTACCTTTTTTCGAAATCATAATTTTTATTTTAATTAGTTAATAAAACTATAACTAATGAAAATATCCAACTGCAGATAACAAAAGGTCCACTTTTTTAATGAAAGCAATTAGTTTTAAGTAATAATGATTTTGTAAGGGTTGTGTGAAATCGAACTAACAAATATATAGAAAACAACACGATGAAACAAATATGCTTTAAAATAATTCTGCCTTAATATTTATAAATGAGACAAAAGAAAAAATATGATATGTTTTTACGAATTAGCAAAACAATTGTTGAACTAAATTAAGCTTTATAGATTTAAGGTCAAACAATAAATAATAAAAAGAAATATACTATATTATAACAATATTAACACTGTGTTTATTTCTTCGAACGGAGTAACCCGAAGAAAAACTCAAATGTTTTAGCAAATTCTTTGTTTTTCTCTTTATTATTACAATGGTTTTAGATTAACTACTGTTACAATTTAGGCACATGTTATTTTAGTTTTAACCATTTTTTATTGAATACAAAAATAAACAATTTGTACAAGGCTTGTATACACATTTACGAAATGTGAATATTTTCTTTTTTTAAAATTAAAAAAAAAAAAAAAAACAAACAAAAAGACAACGAAACTAAAGAATTTATATTTTCAAAAATTATTTGAATATATCACTCGTCTTTTCTTAATTTCTATACATTTTCTATGAAATAGACAATTAAAAATAAAATAATAAAAAAAAACAAAACAAATATAACAAAAACTTCAATAGATAGTAAAAAATTTTATAAATCTTATGTTCCATGTAAATTCGGATGTTTACCACTTGTATTGTTGACCGCTTTTGCAACTTCATCTCGTAGGGTTGACGGTGGATCAGACAAAATATCGGTCTTCATTGATAGGTACTTTAATTTATTAGAAACAGCTGCAAAATGATAAAAAGAAATAAATTTAAGTAAAAAATCAGTAGGAAAACAGCAGCTATAACCGAAACAAATAAAATACAAAGCTAAATATCGTTACGCCATATTTCCGCCCCATAATTAATATTATATACACCACTGTAAGTATTTCTGATACTCGTACGCTTTTATAACTGATATGTCAAGAGCTTTCCTTTGATGAACTAGCAACTACCGGTAACTGTATTAAAATTTAAATTATTCATAAGTGGACAACATCATCATGATTAGTGGTTGTCCACAGCCCCTTGCGACAGATCATATGTTTGACAGGTAGATCAAGAAGAACATTATCCAAATTTCTTTACGGTAGAGATATAACAGTAGATAATAGAGATATAACAGTAGGCCAAAATGCATGACCGATATTTCAACGTGTTAAAATTAATGCAAACATTTTATAACCTCACTATATATGTTTGTAGGATAAAAGTAATTTAAACTAAATTATAAACTTTTTCATTGTTAGCATAATAGTTTGCCATCTTGCTGTCTAGAAATCTTATAATTAAAATTATATTTACATTACAAAAATTGCAATGAACAGCGATTTCCTGAAAGTCATATTTTGAAATTCTAAAAACATAAATTTAACCTTAAAATTGACGTCGCGACTACATTCATTTAAACTGTTCACTTGTTTAATTTTTTACTAAGGATATTTTCCCAGGGAATTATTTATCACTTCATAAAACAACAAACCTATCTACAAAACTGTAGTCGTTTCCACGACAGAGGGGTCGGCTAACCTGTGTCACCTCTGCCCATTGTGTAAAAGCAATAGGGGTGCTACAAGTAATCAATGCGATGGTTATCCACATTAAACATCTTTTTTTTGTTTTTTAATTTAAAAAAGGGGGATTAAGCTTTCTTAAGGGGACACACTATTCAAGATTTAACATTTTTACGATTTTCAAACGGCTGACAAATAGACGTGCATTACAACATTGAAGACTTGTATCTTTGTATACATGTACCTTAATAAAATCTTTATTTGCTACTTAATATATTATAATTTAAGGAAAAAACTATTGACTGTTGTTGAGAGCATTTATAGAAATGATTTCTTCTATATTACTTTATTACGTGCTTACCGGGTCTTAGATCAATTAGTGAACAGTGCTGATCTACCCACAGGAAGGCTGTACGTCTTAATTCATCAAGACTAGCACTGGAGACAGTAGATGTATAAGATGATAGTAAAGGTTCCAATATTAGGCCAAGCTGAAAAATAAAATTTGAGTAAAATTTAATTAACAACGCATCAAAACATTTTCTTTATAGTTATTTTAAAAATAATTAAAAATATTAAATATTCTTATACAAATATCAAGAAATGCTAATTTTTTTTATAAAATCACACTTTTTTAATAAAATAAATAATATTCATCTTTTTGTACTGAGATTCAATAATAAAATGTGCTAAATGTGTGTGTCATTCCGAAAAAGTCACCAGTTTTTCATAGAATACATTAGTAATGAATGTACTGCAATTTTCAAAATATATTGACATCGTCAATATTGATTTCTTGTGTAGCTTTGCATTTATCAAAATGTTTCAAAATTGTTTCATTCAAATAATAATTATATATATTTTTCAGAACACAATGTTATCATCGCAATACATTTTGGCTCTATTGGGCTTCCCATGTATTGATATTTAATAAATATAAATATCGAATGCAATTATTACTATATAAATTCGAATCGATTTGAACAAATTTGGCGCTTGTTTTTTATGCTAAAGTCGTTAAAATAACTTTCAAATAAAAAAATTTAAAATATATTTTTTGATTTTACAATGTGTTTTTTTTATAAAATGTGGTTTCTACTTACAATCCAAAATTTCCAATTTTCTTGTGTACGTGTACGCACATATTGTTCATATAACTGTCGGACATGCTCGGTACCCTGTCGTGTAACGGGTGCTCCATTTGCTGGTAAACTCGAATGAAGGTGCCTGTTAAGGGTAAGTCATAAATTTTAGTACCATCAAATATATTATAAGAACCAAGATTATGACTTACGTCAGTGAGTTGTTAAGTGCATCACGTTCCATGCGCAAAGCATCCATGCGTTCTTTGAGTATATTTCGTTCGTTACGCAAATGTTTGATATGCTCTGCACCCTTCTGCAACATTGCTGCTTTACTTAACTGCAATAGATTTTGGAATAATTTATTTTCTTTTTTTTGTTTATTTTACTGATAAAACTAACCTTAGCATTATTTTGCTGGAGTTGTGGTATCAGATCGTGTAATTGATCAAAACCATTTTTTATGTTGTAACGCCTCTTTTGTTCTGCATGAATGTGGCCAGCGCGACGTTGGCTATCTCGTGGATACTTTAAACTGTGAGTGGGCGACAAAGGAGAATCTTGGTCATGAAATGATTCCGGCGATAAACTTATGTTAGCCGAGCATGTGTTTTGCGAGCTCGCCGTCAAGGGAAAACTTAACATCTATACGGGAAATAGGGTTAATAATCGACGTTAACGTTTTTGTTTTTTTTTTCTGATTACAACTTACTTTACTGGCAGGCGGACTACTAAGCATTGAGGGGGCCACAGGTGCTGGCAATGAGGCCGACTTCTTGGGTGATTTATGTACATTCTGATGATGAAGATTTTGATGCTGTTGTTGCTGCGGTTGAACCAACTGTTTACATTGCTGCTGTTGTATAATTGACGCAGAACTATTGATTATAGAAGGCGACGGTGGCGATGGGATAGGCTGTTGTTGCTGTTGTTGTTGTGTTGGGGACATATATAAGTTGGATTTATTCCCAGCACCTGATCTGGGACTTCCTTTATTTTGTACATTTGTTGGAGGCGTTGGCATAGTTGGTGTCGTCTGTTGGGTTACAACATTATTTGGCATTGTCGATATGGCACTAGTAGATACACTTTGTTGTTTACTTAATGACGGCATCCGAGAATCTATATGCAATAAATTTCATGGAGGTCATATTTTATTTTCTCATTTCGAATTCCAAATATTGTCAATGAATTTACTTACTTGTTGTTAATAGCTGCGCCAATGCACTATTGAGCATAGGGTCGCTGGTAGCACTTTGTAACTGCGCATTTAACCCCATACCAAGATAATTACTGTTTATCACACTTACTCCCGATCCACTGGAACTAACACCAACCATTGTATTCGACGCTGATGTGGAAGACTGTATCATGTGTTGATGAATCGAGTTGCTTCGAGAGCGAGTTTTATTAGATTTTACAACATGACTTTTGGGTACTATAAAATTACCCTCTTGCTGACCAAGACGTGGATCAATTTTCGCCAGTGTTGCATTCAACGGCAAGCTATTCGAACGATATATTTCTTTTGGCATTGTATTACTCGTAGATATAGATTGACCAATTGAAGGCTGTTGCTGCTGCTGCTGGGTTTGTTGGTGCTGGTGTTGATGTGTGGACAATATATTCTGAATATTTGATTGTGCAGATGGCTGCTGGGGCTGTTGATCCATACTCATCTGTGCAGGTATTATACGATGACTAGACTGTTGGAGTGTTTGCTGCATATTTGGTGGTGAAAGTTGTGCAGAATGTTGTAGCGCTTGCGGAGTTTGCGGTTGCTGAAGAGCATTCGTCAAGTTAGGCAAATGCAAACCTAATGTCGGTGGTAAGGATTGTGCGTGCAAAGTGGCGCCAGGCATATTTCCAGGGGGATTCTGTCCCTGTTGTTGCATATAGTAATGCTGATTTGCCGGAGCTGTACCGCGTACATTTATATATGTTCCAGTTGATGCCGACTTCTTAAAGCTACCAGTGTGTGTATAGGGCTTGTATTGATTGCCACCTAGAAAGTTGTCCGAGGCCTGACTTAAATTGAACATATTTCGAACATCCGACGAAGCACCTTCGATTTTTATATTATGCAGCATGTTACTGTTGCCCGCTTGAGTATTGTCACTTATTTGGTTAGCCGATGTACCAATCATTCCGTAAGTCCCAGTATTTATATTAGAATTTGGATTCATCGGGTTTCCACCGGATACCACACCACTACTACTACCAGAATTACCACTGTTGCTGACCACATTTTCCGAAGAAACAAAATTCGTAGAGTTGTTGTTCAATAAATTCGTAGTATACTGTTGGTTTGATTGTGTAAAAGAATTGCCAGAATTTTGAAGTGCCTGCTGATGCTGGCGCTGCTGATTCGCTGGCTGATAAGCTGCTGTTGCTTGAAGTTGAAGTGAATTGTTGGTCATAAGCATCTTCTGATGTTCGGCTAACATTTGCTGGTATATATTGGTCTGATGCATGGTTGGTTGGGCTTTGTCATAATTATGAGGTTCGCGTCTAAAATTGTATTTATTGCCGATTAACATTTAGCGTTTACTGTAATTTTGTTTTTAAAACTTACCTAAACGGTCGTTGAGAATTTTTTGATATTCGTCCTTTTTTCACAGGAAAGTCATTACTGTTACTACTGCTTTGGCGTCCGCCCATTATAGTGCTACTACTACTGCTACTGATCACATTACTACTTTCTACCAAACCCAGAGAATTTGATGTTCCGCTAGAAGCACCTGAATTATCATAAGCTTCAATTTGTTGCTGCTGCTGCTGTTGCTGCTGTGTTTGGGTATTTCCTTGCGGCATAATCAGGGCACCAGCATTTTGCGTACTGCCCATTATTGCATATTCAGTATTCAATGCTTGTAAAGCGTTTTGATTTGATCGATTGTCTGATGCTGCCAGCATTTGGACATTGTTACTAGCGCCTCGTGCAGCAAATTGTTGTTCTAGATCGGAGTAACCCAAGGTATTCATGGGGGTGTTCAATTCAATCATGTTGGCATCTTCACTCACATTTGCCATGCCGCCGACAACATTGGACGAGGACACATCCATCATATTGCTAGATTCCATTTGTTCTGATCCTATAATTAATATTTATTATTTGCAAGGTTCCAAATAAATCGAAATTGCTGTAGCAATTACCCATTATTGATGAAAAGTTATAATCGACATTCTTGATCATGTCATCGGTACCCTCTTCCGGTACTGGAGGTAAGCGTGAGTTTAACAATTCTATGTAATAGAAAAAATACCAAAATGTTAGGAATTGTTATGGACTTTATAAACAAGTTTATGAATATACAAACAATATATGATGTAAAAATCGAATAATTTCCTTTCATTTGATATGACAAAAAATAAAAACTAATTGTGACTATGTGTAACATACCCGCAAATGTTAAATCAATGTCATCTAGATTCGGTTGTAATGGTCCTAAACTAGGTTGTATAAAATCGGCGTTGCCTGCTTCTCGTGCTGTTGTAAAATGGGCGAAGTGAAAACTTTAACATATTGTCTACAGGTAATAGCTAATAAATCACTTACCAATTTCTCGTGAATCTGGAAAAGGAAAAGGACCATTTATAGCAGAAAATAAAGTATCGCTGGTCCAATCATCAGATATCATCAAACTCTTGTCATTTAAGTAGGGCCATTCTAGGAAGTCGAATTCGCTTTTCTGTGAAGAGATAAGGTAACAAAGGTCGTGATTTTAGAAAATGAAATGAATACAAAACGTAGCTAGTTACTAAGCGATCTAATATTTTTTTTTTTTAATTTTTGCTATGTACCCTTTAATACACCTAATGATAGAAAATGGCAGTAGAATCCGAATATTGAATTGACGTCGTTTTATTCATGAAATTACAATAGATATGCAATATCTGAAATTTTGCTAAGACAGTGCTAACACATCTCGGATGTTATTAATTGCAAATGGGAATAATCGGCATTTTGGGGATGTTCGGTACATCCTCATTTGCAAGAACGGCATAAATAAAAAAAATATTTAACAGAAAATGTGTTTTCAGTTTATGTTTATGGAAAAGGTAAACAGATAAGACCACTTGAAGTCTATGTAGTCTTTCAAAATTTATTGTTTGAAGAATAAATATAATAAAAAATATTATATTTGTAATCAAGGCCTATATAAGGTCGGACAGTAAGCAAAGCACAGCTGAGTATTGAGGAGAAATTATCTTACAAAATTATAAATTGTGTTCTGTTTTTTTATTTAAAGGTGAAACAATTAGTTTTCGCCTCGGTAAAAAAATGACGTTAAACTTAAGTTTTCTCTATGAATTCGCTTATTGGCCGACATTATTTAGGCCTTGGTTCTAATAAAAAATTTCCGCTTACAATTTTATCCAGTTTTGGTTTGTATCTCACCAATTAAGGTTGACACCAAAGAAAAACTAATAAATGAATTCGCCTCCTGACTTTATAGACTTTATTAATTCTCAGAATTTATAAATTCTCAGTACACAACTGTATAAATTCTATCCAGTTACAATTTGTTGAAAATATGTTATTAGCAAAATACAACCGCATGCTATTTCATCCCAAAAGTTGCTCATTTTTCAAACACCATGCCTCAATGCTCCAAACATTAAATAATTCCATTGGGATTAAGTCATACAAATACAATTTTCAATTTGTCATATCGCTTATTCGCTGCAAGACCGGCATAAATCAATAATCGTGATTTTTGAGCTAATGATGACGAGTTGTTCGCCATATCAGACGTCATGTCTGCTCCTTAGAGGGTGTGAGTCAATTGAAAACTTAAAATGTAAATTCTGCAAAATCGATTTTTTGATTAATGCCGGTTTTGCAGCGCGAATGAGTGATGTGTACTGAATAACAAATTAATAAATTACATTTATTAAATACACTTTTTAAACACTGGTACTTTTTGCAGACTGAATATAGGATTAGTATTAAGTTATTTGGTTCCGAATATAAAACGATAGCATTAACTCGAGATGTCTAAGGAAATTGAAATATTTTATAAATTATTGAAATATTCGGGTTTAATGGCTGTATGTGACTTAAATGGACAATATAAAATTACGAATAGTATAGCCTACACAATTTATCATATATGTATCCAGGGGACGTTACTCGGAGCATTTATATTGGCATATGTAATTCGAGACTCAATTTTGCTAGCTGAGTCCGTTGCCACGGAACACTACTACAACTACATACTTGTGGAGGCCACTTTTATGTCTCACATCATTCTCCGATTCTGGTTGATTTATAATCAAAATTTGAACTTGAAATTGTTGGAGTTCTGTAAGAACGGTATAAAGTGTTATTTGCCTCGGGAGAATGTTTATCCAGATCCACAGTATCCGAAGAAAATATTGGTAGCATTCATTTTAGCTGCAATTGTGTATTTTGCCAATATCATGGTGGTCATTTATAATTTAATCATCCATAATGTATGTTCCGTGGCTTTTTGTATCTTTTGGATTGTATTCACCTATTGTTATGTGACAACCGTTCTCGTTTTGAGTATTTGGTGTCTTATTGTAATGACGCTTTCTGGCATTTTGAAGGCGATCTCAAACCAATTGGAAGGAATTCTCTTGTACGGTGATTTTACATTATCGGACGAAGATATTTATCGCCTTCAAAAATTGATCTATTCGAGTGGTAATATCACTCATGTTGTAGCGAAGGATGTAAACAAAGTATATGGCATTTCGTTAATGCTTTGCATGATCGTGATAATCAACGAGTCGATATGGAATGTCTTTCAAATGATGGAACCTAACTTTGAATCTAAACATCTGATTGAGTTCCAAACGTCTATGTGGATGTTGCCCATTCTGATAATACTAGGCATTGGATTAGTGCATAGCAGAGTAACGGAAGAGGTAAATGTATACGAAAACGACTTAGAAAGTATCAATCGGTATTGCCGAGCGACGTGTCGGTTTCGCTCAATTATGCTGTCAATTTATAATTTTGATAAACATTTTACGCAAAAATTTTAGTAAACTTACCACATTTGTACTAAATCTATTGTAAGTTTAAATATTATGGTGTGTAACATTTGGACCAAATTGTATACTCGATTCGATTCATATAAAATTTTCAAGTTTGGAAAATGTTAAACTATTAAAATATAAAATATAAAATAAATATAAAATATAAAATAAAAAATAATAATATTGCGATGTGCAAATTTCGGATACATTTTGCTATTCTCCTATGGATACCAGCAAGACAAACAAAGAATCTAAATAGTCTGAAATGGTTTTGGCCTAAAGACATTTGCCAATGTGCATATACTCTCTAACCTTAAGGCGGAAGATATAACAAAAGTTAAAAAGTTATTTAAATTCCGTCAATACAATTTATAACCAGAATGTTATTTTGCAGCCAATTCGGTTAGAAAATAACTAAATCTAGGATATTTCAAAATGTGGTTATAATTTGAAAGTACTTAAGGTATGGTGCTAACAATCATGGTTATTGTCGTATGTACTCGGATGTTGGAGTTACACATATATATTTACAGGTTGTGTAGGGTATCATATGGTCGGCCCCGTCCGACTATACTACTCCGCTCACTGGTTTTTTAATTATGTTAGCAACCCAATATTGTAAAAACAAATCAAATAAACTTCTAAAATAACATACGAACTAAGACATTGCAGTGGAGTTCTTTTTTTAATTACGTAAACTTAATCTTCCTTTTCTTTATTGTGCCATGGACAATAAATACAATGTAACAATGTTTTCCAAGGGTCGTTTCAATTGAGAATTCAAAATGTCAAAACATGAACGGGCTGTCGTGACATGTTTAATGTATATTTCGGCAACTTCTCTCCCACTGTGAGTAGCTAAATTTGATAGTATTGTAAGAAAGTCATTTGCTTAGGTAATTTATTGAACATTTCATTCAATATATTAAAGAAATTAGTTTATTGGTTACCTTGACGCCCAGCTTTTACACCCGGGTTCATTGTGAATGTGAAAACCATTGATAATGCCACAATGCCACAAGAAGTTATTATATTCTACAAGCTACTAAAAGTGTTCGGTTTCGTAAATCTGCATTTCAATGGTGAACAGGATAAATATGTTGTTAAAGGAAGTGTCGTCTATTGGATATTTTATGCAAGCATTCAAATCACGTTGGTCGGCTCATTGTTTGCAACATATCTCAATCGCAGATACATTTTAATTGGCAACTACATTGACACGGAACATTATTACAATTTCATTGCCATGCAACTGACATTTGTGTCTCATGTCGTACTCAGATTGTGGCTAATTCGTAATCAACACAGCAATTTGAAATTGTTGGAGCAGTGTCGGAAATGGAATCAATATTATATAATAGCAGACTTGCCTACTTATCCCAGAAATTTGCTAAAGACATTTATAGCATCTGCAATTGTGCATTTAGCTAACCTGATCATAGTGCTATACGAGCAGAGAGAAGGTCTTAATACATCTGCCGCTCTCACGTGGTCAGTCTTCACTTATTGCTGTCTCTCGATTACCCTACTTTCATATGTCTATATTTTCATAGTTATGACAATATCAAATATTTTGAAATGGATTGCACAAAGTTGTGAGGAGTTGTTTGTGCATGGTGTAGCAGATGAATGGAGTACCACAGAATTGCCACAGCTGAAGGACTTGTTGAATTTGTATAACGACATAACACGTATAGTATGTCATAATGTTAACCGTGTTTATGGTATTGCAATATTGATTAGTGCGGTTACACTTATCAATGAACCGATATGGGATGCCTATGAACTGGCCATATTACCATCGGAAACCAGTTATTTTTATCAAATACAAACGACTATGTGGATGTTACCAATTTCAATATTTTTGATTGTCGGACTCTTGAATAGCAACGTTTCCGAAGAAGTAAGTAAATGAAATGAATATTTGTAACAAATGTGTAATTAACGATATACATTTTACATATCGTAATTACAATGAAATTGTATTCCGATACCTAGGAATAATGTAAAATATATAATTTATTGATTATTTATGAGTGTAAAAGGACAGTTCAAGAGTTGTTATACCCCATACAACTATGTACTGAGATATATTCTTGATATATCCAGCTAGATTTATTCGACTAGCAGAGTAGATCTAGCCATGTGTTTTAATACATCTGTCCATTTACATTTAGAGATTGTCAGTTTTTCTGCACCAATACATTTTGGAAAATTACAAAATTTGTAGTTACGGAAATGTCCGATTCATGGTTATGTTGTATAACCCACAGATCAATCATTTTAACAAGACCGAAAAACGAGTTAATTTGACTTGAAATGTGAAAAGGACGACGCTATAAAGAACTTGTATTTAAACAAATATCCATTTTCTTGTCAAAGTCAACACACACCATGGTGTAGCCAGCCCTTCGCTTCTCTCTACTCGAATAATTAATTAAAATGTTAATTTTAAAAGGAAGCACTCACATTTAGGAAGTTAGTTTCTTGGTCGCGTTCATACCTTGGACAACTATGTAATTGTGAAAGGAGACAACAGTAGTGAATATAGTCAAAAATAAAAAAATAAGTAAAAAATGAGGCAAACAATTTGTGTGTTTTACAAGATACTGAGATACTCGGGTTTAATGGCGGTTCAATTTGATGCAATCAATATCCGTTATTTAATTAAAGGAAGCTT